TCGCAGTCTTCTTTAGCTTTATAGTGTTGGTTCGACCTCGTTTTTGCTACTTGGTCGGAGCGTAAGGGAGACCTTGCTGAACGTACCTAGTCCTATGTACTATTTTATAGTATTTATAATGCCCAGTCTCGGACCACTGACTTAGTACATTCCAAAACGTTTCTCTGAACTCGTCAAGGAGAGGTTACATCGTCAGCACAATTACAACTTATCAAGTGACAATTAAGGGCAATTTCCCTGACCAATTTTCTTTTCAACCGTTGTAGCATCACTCGTCGCTTTTATTTTTTTTCTTCCTTCTAGTGCCGCATCTCTTTCTCTCAAACCCACTTGTATGGCTCATCCACATATTCGAACATTTCTATGCTCTCATTTCCTCCAATTTTGCATAAGAGTGTTCGCTACAATTGGGTTTAGTGAAGGGTAATCATTTGCACCACAGGTGCCAGGTCCCACTTGCAGGGCTCCTGACCTACATTCTGTCGTCTCCCATTTTGTTCCTAGCCGCTTGTCAATTGGCCGCTGCTAAGGATCAAAATCACTGTTTAGCTGCCTGAAATCTGGCTACCTAAGAGCCTTCCATTCCCGTCCTCGATTACGCTATATTCGAGGGTTTACAGCAGATTATGCGCATGTTGATGCCAGTGCCTGAGAATCTTCCTCTCGCTAGGCTTCAGACTCATGACTCGATTATCCTCTCCCTTTAAACCCACCCACATTATGCCTAATTCTGAGCGTCCAAACATCTTTTTTCTGATATCTTCGCTGAATCTCCAAGTCTCCTCAAGCAGTATGCGAAATTTTCGCGGACTCTTTCCTCTTCTGATCTTATGTTCATCAGGTTTTTTTGAAGGAGAATGTCCACAGCCTCTCTGATCTTATTCAGAATTGATATCGATATTTAAATCTTTTTTGGCTATAATGCTTTTTCGTTTTATAAGTAGACTTTCAAGAATACGAGTTATATGATATTTATTCACCCTTTTTGTTTAAGGTGATGAAGAACTGGTAATTGAATTTTCCCACAATGATATGAGTAGAGCTAACGTTTCCATTGATTTTCACAAAGCCTTGCTTTCCGAAAAATTGTTCTTATCCAGTGTGGACTGCAGTTTCGACCTCGCCTATGTCTTAGCAACATGTACAGCGGTAATGCAGCATATAGTCTTGACAATTTAATCACTACGCCACATTGCCTCGAATTATTTACCCACACGCAGGGGAAGGTGATTAACGCCTCGAGTAGCACAGATGGGGTGGCAGAGGTCGAGTGAAATACGTGAACCAGGAAGAGAACAGACGGATGTTACGGGGCAAGATATAGACTGTGATAAGACCTAGGGAAGGAGAACTGCTTAACAATATGGCAAACTCTGATCAACATTTGCAGCACAAGGGTAAAGGAGTTGAGAACGACAGCGTAGAGGGTGAAGGGTTTTCATGAATGCCGCTCAAAGCAACACACCACACTACATCTAAATAGGCACGGTAAAAATTGTAATGGTGAAGGAGGATGTAGGGAATGTGAATAGCCCATGGCAGAATGGATATACCATAACTGTTTACAGACGTTAGGTTAAAGGATCGGCTTCACTTGTCTCTTTGAAGAGTTGTATAGTGCTAAGAATGGCGAGACTCACTGACGATGCCGGCGAAATGTCTGGAAAATACCACGTCTACGGTCCGACTTTGGAAATGATAATGCATAAAATGGACTCCGGACTAGGTGCGTTCCTCTAAGTCTTTCTACCAATATGACCAGGTTGCAAAAACAAGGTTTAACAACCTCTATACATTACTTATTTTTCGTTTTATAAGTAGAGATTTAAGACTACCCGAGCTTACTGTACTGTCATGGTTCAACTCCCGCTAAGGGAGTTGATAAGGCATAGGCGAGTTCGAAAATGCAGTCCACTCTGGTTGATAACCCCTTTTGGGAAAGCATGACAGTGTGACTTACATTGAAAACGTCAGCCATATTAAATTCATTGTGAGAAAATTCATTTTGCAGTCCTTCATCATTCTAAACGAAATAGGATAAATGCGCCTCACATAACAGATTTACTGGTAGTCTCAAAACTACTTATAAAACGAAAAATATATAATGTAGTCGATGGTTGATAGCATATATAACTTTGCTTCATGGACAATCCTATCAAAGAATGCTATATGCGAAAATACCTGCACTTCCTTGAAAATAACCTCTGCCCTGTAACTCAAGAACACTAATGGCAATGTGGCGTCATGTTAGTATTTAAAAAAGAATAAAAATTTGGGATTTGGGTAAATTTTCTCGCCTTATTTCTTTTATTGAACTTATCTCCCAAAGATTTTCGGTATATATGCGAATAGCAGAAGAATACTTATGACTTAACGTTGATCGATCAGTTTCCATCAGAATTACAATCAATATGGCACTGCATATAAGGTAAACAGTTTTCATAGCGAGTAAGTTTGATCTGCCCAGATATGGACAATGACTAGGCTAATACTAATGAATGACTCAAGCCAAAACAGACGGATGGCTGAGGTTAATTGTAGATGCCACTTGCCTGTAATTTTGATTGAGGATTGAGTTCTCTTAGCGGTTTAAGAATTTTGTTACATAATAACTGAAGAAGATTTGAGCTAATTGATTTATATATACTAATGACCTATCATAAGTGCTGCTAAACTAAAAAAAAGATTTTAAATTTCTTGTGCATCTTTATTAACTATTATCTTAACTACAAAGCCTTCAGCTATATTTTAGCTCATCAATTTGAAATTATATGATCTTGTCAAATCATTACTCCTCATTCTGTTCTTTATATAAATTTATAGCTTTGTTGGGCGACGCCAAGTCTGAAGTGTTTAGTAGACTTATACAGCTGTCTATTCCAGTTCGGGGATCTTGATAGATGTCAGAAGCCATATGTGGCTGGGCACTTAGATTGTTTCATGTCTTTTGAATAAACAAAATAACCTACTTTTAAATTGTCCTACTCTTAATATCTCTTTAAATCTTCTAGTTTTATGCCTTATTTTCACATAATCTCCCTAACATTCTTCTGCTTCGTTATTTTTAGGCTTCTATTATGGACCGTGCCTGCCCCCATTCAGTCGTATGCTATGGGAGTCAGATGCTCATTCTTGGCCGATCTGGAATTCAGCTTATGGCCCTACGAACTTGGAAACAGGTGTGTTTATATTTATACGCATAGATATAGGCTAGTCATCAATTTACAAACTCCGTCATTATATAGTAGATATAAAGCCCAAGATGGTGTGGCCTTCTGTTTGGTTGCACTCTTTAGCTTTATGCTATTGGTTAGACCTCCTTTTTTGTAACTTAGTCAGAGCGTCATGGAGACCTTTTTTAATGTACCTAATCCAGTTCTGCTGTCATAGTATTCATAATGTCCAGCATCGGGCCACTGACTTAGTACATTCTCAAGCGCTTCGCCGGCCTCGTCAGAAAGAGGTGGCATCGTTCTCACAATTACAACTTATCAAGTGACAATTTAAAGCAATTTCCTCGACCTATTTTCTGTTAAATCGTTGTGGCATCACTCGCTTCTATTTTTTGTTCTACCTTCCAGTGCCGCATCTCTTTCTCTCAACCCCACTTCATATGGCTCACCTACATATCTATACAATTTTGTGCTCTTGTTTCCTCCAATGTCGCCTAAGAATGTGTTCCTACAAATGGGTTCATTTAAGAGTAATCGTTTTACCATCGGTACCAGGTACCGCTTACAATGCCCTTGACCTTCATTCAGCTTCCTATTATCCTACCCCACTTGTCAATTCTCCCTTAATATACTTTATTACTAATGTCTAATCTTAAAGAAATCACGACTCGTAATAAGCCATTTTTT